ACTCTTTCCTGTCCTCATCCATTCTGCGGTCGAACCAGATTGATACCATTCAGTGTTTCTTCCCAGTTCAAAAGTGAACAAGTAGACATGAAAGGGAGAGAGGATGAAACTATTCCTTCCCATAATGTCTTGGTCGTTTGATCGCTCACTGGAGATACCCAGTGCTGTTCTCTGCTGTTTTGCTCCTGAATCCCATGCTGTTTGAAGGACAACCTGGCGAATGTGCATCAGTAGAGTCAGGGAGGAATCCACACGGCAGTCCCGTAAGTCCCTCAGCTGCTGCCTGGAGCATCCCTTTTCTGGAGTGTGGAGTGTGAATCCAGGAATTGGCACTGTGGGAGAGAGTGGTCTTGCCCTATAATTAAGCTCAACTTCTGGATATATGTTTTAATGAGAAATCCCTCTGTAGGTCCAAGGAAACTTCTGATCAAAACATTTTCAAAGTTTGTTCAATCCTATAAATGAGTTTTCTTTTTGACAAATACGTTTTTTTGTGATGAAAAAAAGTTTTGAAAAAATTCCCAGCTAATTCCGTTAATTTCTCCCCTAAAGGAAAATAATAGCACTCTTCCCAGAATTGCTGCAAAATACTTCTGTTTATATTTGTTTCAAAACTGAGCTGACTAAGAGGTGGTAATTTTAGCAATTTAAGTAATCTGTTTAAAAACAGATACAAGGGAAACAAGTCACAAATCAAACTTTTACTGGTTTAGCCCTTCTGGAACTATTTCAAATAGGTTTTGCTAAGCAAGTAAACTGCATTTGGGGAAAAATAATTCTATAAATGGGAAGGAAGTTCATAGATAAATTAATGTATTTTCACAAAATATGGAGTCTAAGAAATAATGTTTCCTAACTGTAGATTAATTTCCCTTCCATTTGTTAATTATTTTTAAGAGCTTATAATATGACAATTTAAGCTCAAATACAGAAGACATTATAATCTATAATATTTCTATAATAATTCTTGGCTTATTTGAACAGGGGGAATTTGTCTCCTGTTTGTTGTCACTCTTGCGACAAATGACTGATAGACATTATCAACAGCTTCTTGATAGCTTCAACACAAAGGAAGATCTGAGGGTAAGTAACAGAACTGTCTTTTCACTTGTTCAGGTCTCTTTTTATTTCTCTTTTTGATTTATCTCCCTTTAAGATATTCCTGTGCTTTGATGAAACACTGCAGTATTTAAATGCAATCTGTTTTTCAGATTAGCTAAATTTTGCACAGGCTTTTATGTGTACTTAGGTCCACTCTTACGGTGGGACTAGGATTCTGTTGCTTCCACAATGACAGCAGATAGAATAGGGATGGGGGGGACTATATAATAGCTTTAAAGCCATAAACTTAGCCTCAAAGACTCTGTTTTAAAGACTGTGTCAATCTAAGGTTACACAGTTCTGCTTGATTCTTGCTGCCAGGCAGTTGGGTTTTTTGTTTTATTGTATGTATTATTTATTCATTCATTCATTAAATTATAAACGGCAATGGCAAACACACAGCTTGAGAAATGCATATTCAACTAACTCTCCATTTTTCTTAACTGTGCAGCAAGTCCATTGGCAGGAGGACCTGTCAGAGTCTATCTGCCCAGTTTGATCATGGAAGAGAGTAGCTGCAGAACTCTTTCAGGGCAGCTTCTACCAATTTCGTTGATGGAGTTACCAGGTTCATGGAGATACAGCATTTTTAATTCCTTTTTGGAGGAGGGAGATGGATTTTTTTGAGATGATGTAAAAGTTAAGATTTTCTGTATAAAGATAGACATTAAGACTTTCACTCTGCTAGACCCTCAGAAATGTATATAGTACCAAATTTGATCCACACAAGAAATCTTGAGTGATCACTTATGCCCATTATTCAGCCAGTAATCCTAGATAGGAGAGTAATAATGTCCTAGTGTGTTAGTATATTTTTAGATGTTACTCTTAAATTACCATTTGATAATCTTAAGTACTAGCCTGAAAAGGGGAGTCTAGTCATCGTGCAATTTGGTATTTCCTTAAATTCCTGATAGGTGTTCAGAGCTGTTCTGAAGAGAGCATACCATTCGTGAGTGCTGTTTCTTTGTAGCGAGATAGTCATATTGAGCTTGAAAGAGAGAAAATGCTGCTGAGAAGTTATCTCTATCATGAATCAAGGGTACTATCTAGGAGTTATATAGGGTGGACCATTTTTATATTAGTATTACAGCATCTGTTTTCACCTAGCATAGTTTCTATCCTTAGGCAATTTTTAGTATATGTTGTGGAACCTAGGCATTTTTTACTGAAAATATTTTCCCTTTTGTTTGAGTTCTGAGCAGGTCTATATTCCTAGGTTTAGATTTTTGTATTTCCTAGAGGTTTCAAGCTTGATTTCTGTTTGATGTATCTATGAAATACAGTGTTAGGTTTATTCAGACTTTCTTGCTTCTAGAGCATGAAAAATTTCTAGAATTAATGCTTGAATGGAGTTTGATTTGACACATTTATATTCCCCCCACGCACGTACCCTACTATTATACAGAGACATATGGAAAGCAGCTGTAACCAGTGCCATCAGCTATCAAAACAGAGGTCTTAGGAACTCAAGTCCAGAGTTTGTTATTTCCATTCAGATCTCATCAAATCAGCATCAGCTCCACCAGTGATGCAGTGGCAGTAGGCTGATCATAATTAATGCAGCATTCCTTCTCTTCTGAATCTTAAATAATATATTGGTTTTTTTCCTCACTTGGAAATATCAAATATCACTGAAATGTGTATAACTGAAAGCAGGAGGGAAAGATGAGAGCTAGTGTGTGAGACTGACACTGCGATTAATCATGAGGTGATTGTGTATGACTTAGGCTATCTAAACCATCTTGTCACTTACCTCTGTATTTTTTTGCTTTGTTCGCCAAGTGTGGAACTTCCTTGGTATATTGTATGCTTCTTAGGAAATGACATCAATATGAGTAAATGAAGATTCAGAAGGTGTAAATATCTGTGATAAGTCTTTTTTTTGTCTGAGATGCTTTTAGACGCTGAACTAGTAGCCATAGTTAATCATGTGGCTGGTATGTACTTTGGGATTTAAGCTTCAGTGGTAACAACCATCAGCTTGCTGTATTTTTGAATCTTCTTTTTGCCCTCTGGTCAGTGATGTCAAAGTGGATTGTGTCTTCCCTAAGCCACGTTACAAGTTACAAATCTGATACGGGGTTTGCAAGGGACTCATCTGAGTGTAACCCAGGCCTTTGAATTGCTACCTGCTGTGCTTTTTTGCTTTGACTACCTCTGTTTATAATTAACCATCTATACTGAACGATTAGGCACTGATATCACAAGGTATTTCTTCTTTCTTCCAGACTAATTCTCAAGACAACTATGTCAAGTGCTTGCGCAAATGCATGTTTGCACAGCATTTGTGATACTATTAAAAAAATACCCCCACCAAACCATTTCTCCAAACAAAAATTCACTCATGCAAGTACTTGTAAAAAGGGGATGAAGGCTGGCATTCATTCTATTGAAATATATTTGCAGTTCTTATTCTTTTTTTTTTTTAACAGTCTATACCAAAATTAATAAAGGACTCTTTCCAGCTTGTTAATCACAATACAGCAAAATGGAGACTTTGAAGGAATGACATGTACACATTTTTATATGACATGCATCTGAGCAATACTTTAAACAAGCGCTTGTTTATGGAAATATTTCCTCTATTTTGTGAATACATGTAGTTTAAGTAATTGACATGGTGACTATTTTTATTTTAGTCAGTTCTTTGAGAGAGTCAGGTTTTTTCCACACAAAGCAGAAGATAGAAAAAGCATTTTATATTTGAAAACATGCAAATGAAGTAAGAAAGAAATGACAGGGGATTCATGGCTGAGTGGTAGCACCAGAGACTATACTTCACTCACTTTTTGAAACATTGAATTTAATGAGGCAGTAATTTTAAATGCTTCTTTTTATCTTTCAATATTATTTTACAGATACGCTCCTTTTGTTTATCACAAAATACCGTCTTCCTCTAGTAGATGTATTTTATAGCAATTTATAGAACAGAAGCGCCCTGGTAGGCGGATATTTGCTGCCGCAAAAAAGCTCAGATATAATTTCTGACAAAAGGTAACAGTGGAAATTATAAATAGGACGAGAGAAGTGGAAAAGTGAATGAGAAAAACAGTGTATGTTAGCACAATGCAGCTTTGACCACAGAAAGGTGGTTTTGGTTGATATGTGTGGTTTTTTTAATTAATAGATTAAAAGAAGACAAAACAAACAGATAAGCACCTGCCAGAAGGCCTAGTTTTTATCCATTGGCAGTGTACCCTATAATAATGTGGCATAATAGATATACAGGAGAGATCTGATGAAGGAAAAGATAGTATTTCATAGGGATGGGTGTAAACCTTACTAGTTCTCTGATCCCTCTCTTTCAGTTAAAGGAGCCTGAGCAGGGTAAGGTGGGTGCTGAACCCTACCACCAAGTCAATTTATTCCACTGTTCTCTAATGACCCCTTGGACACAGGCTGTGTGGGGAATATCTCTGGTGGAGAAGCTCAGTTCTAGCCACCATCCTTCCCCTGCTATGCAGGGACATCCGCTCATGTATGGGACTTCTGAAAGGATGAGTGCTGGGGCAGAGGGGTAGCTCTGAAACAAATATTTGGGTGACTTCTGATGTAGATTGAGGAAGCAGTGAAGGAAAGAAGATATGGGAAAGTTGGCCACAGGATGGATGAGTTGTTTGGGCAGAGACAGCTCACTGTCGAACCATCCTCTTTCTTATGGCACCTTGGCACTCTGCAAAAAACCTCTGGGATGCTCTACAAAGACTTGATACCAAGCAGCTTGATAACTCTGCAGTGCAAACCAAAGCAATGGATGATCACGCAATTAGCTTCAAAGTGGACTGTTGACCCAAACTAAAATGCTAATATAGATGCACCCTGAGAGATCCAGTGAAGAGTCTGACCTGCTTTACGTAGGATTTTGCATGCACACAGGGAAATGTGAAAGAAATTCCAAGGCAGTTTTTGATTAAATGAATAGATGGTTTTCAGTCTTTCAGAAGGCCATGCTTCTCTCTTAATCACAGTTTGATAATTTCATCAAGCAAATATTGCTGCTAGAGGAAACTGAACTGTGATATTGTGATATTATTTTAAGTGGTGTAAGACAGTACTAGAGCTTATGTACACTAGGTAGGAATATTAAGAGATGGTATTTAGAGTATGTAAAATGACAAAATTACTCCCTTGCTGTCTCTTAAGATAGAAGGCATATGAGACATTAATTATATCTGTACTCAACCAACCAAATGTTTGTTCACTTATACTGCTGGAAAAAATGTTTTTTAAATGTTAAAATCTGTTACTAAATCATTATGATGTGTTCAGCAGAGCAGATACAACTATGAAAGACAATAGTTCAGTGCAAAGGAAACAATTCAAAATATAGTTGCAAAATTGATCTTCCATGAATGGTACTTCATAGTAATGTCTCGTGATGTTTGGGCCATGAAACAAAATGAGCAATTGCATCATGCAAAATGCCAGGCATTGTAATGCTGATCAAAACATTTTATGGAATTTCTACATGGAGGTGGGTCACTTGGGAGCGAACACTGGCACTGAATGTCGAGCAGTGCTGACACATGAAGGATAACAGCTCATTAATGGCAAAGTATCAGACTAGTCAACTGGCATTTTACCCTTTGGTTATTTTCAGGCTTATAATGGATTCCTAGGGAAATGTATTACCAAATACACAAAAACTGAATCATGAAAAATATAAGTTAGCTACAGATTAATTCTGTTAATAGAAGCTTAATAGTTGCATCTTGAAAATCTTACAACTGACTAGTTTTTCTAAAGTTTTTTATAAGTTATCTGTTTCTTTCAGTTATATTTCAGCTTTGAATTATACTGCATTTTGTTTGTATGTTTTTAACATGTACTGTAACAAAGAGATCTTCAGTCTTACTCAGACTTTTCAAATCCACATTTTGTATCTAATATCACTTATCACTAAATTGATGACACAACTTTCTATTTTTTCTGTTAAAATTAGAAATAATTACCCTGCTGTTAATGATTCAAAATTTAATGCCAATGTCTACATTTGCTTTGTTTTAAAGTTTGCTTGGAATAAAAGATTTATTCTGTTTTTAGCCTAGTTACCTAAAGAAATAAAGTATATATGATCTTCCCCTCTGTCATTCTTTTCTTAATGACTTTTGAACAAGCTGATGAATTTTAGCAGGCTTTGGCAGTGGCCCGTGAGTCTCAAAGGCACTAAGTTTACACCTCACGCAGCCCTTGGGTTTTAAGTCCTCTAACTCCTTGGTTTCCCAACAGGACCCATTTGGTCTCTTCAGTTCAGCCAGTCAGTTAGCTTCCCTAACACCAGCAACATGTATTGTGTCTGGACAACAGACAGGATAAAAATGAGATATGGGAGAATTTGGGACATTATTCTGAGGTGACATACAGCAGCATTCGAGGCATTGCCATATTGTTGGGATTATGGCACAGAGCTACAGGGATTACAGCACAGGGAAGGGAGGTAACCCTTAACGAAAAAAAGGAGCAGGCAGAAGTGTTGAAATTTAACTACAAGGTGCAAAGCTATAGGAAAACAGTCTGGAATAAATGTGTTTCTCGTAGAGCTACTTGTTTATCTGTAAAGCTGGTCACCTACATTCAAACACTATGTTATCTGCAATGAGTATTGTTTATACTCTTTAATACAGAGAATTTTTTGGCATCTTGCTCAGAAAACAGGTTGTCTCTTTTATGTAATCTTCTCTGGTGGGTGGGTGCAGGGATCTCAGCTGCCTTTCCCAGCGCCTTCATTCGTCCCCCTTTACAGTGATTCTCTAATGAAAGACATCTGTTGTGCAATGCCCATCATCCATGCTTTGGTAAATGCACTTGAGAATATATTTTGGTGTTCAAAATTATTTGATATTCTTTGATTGTATCTTCATCTCATCTGTGTTTCGGGCTAACTCTCTACAAGTGGTGCGGGCAGAATCAATACAAAACATTCTGAGGTCAGGTGCCACACTGATTGTTAGGCATATTATATCACTTGCCTCATGCTCTTCATGATGTCAAAAGCTCCATTTTGCTTACTAAAAAAATACTGGCAGTACTATACACAATCAAGATGGGCCATTAGAAATATTACCCTTGTTGGTAGTTTTATTTGTGAAAAGGAAATCTGAAGAACCGTGTGCTGAGAGGAATAGTTTAATTTAGTTAGTTATTAGTGAGTAAAACCACATAGGAGATAATAATGCTAAAAGCAGTTAAGCAGTGTTTTCTACATTCAAAGTAGCTCGCATGTGTTCACTATTTTTATAGATTCAGCAAATGAGGCAGAATGGTTAAGTGACCTGCATACAGCCAGCCTGCTGTGATAACAGTTCAGGGGCCTGGGCATCACTATTGAATTCGCTGGTCTTTGCAAACCCAATGATAAAATTGTCCTTATACTCTCTCTCTTTCCCACCAAATAATGCCACTTTTAGAATAAATCTTGAAAGTGATGAAAACCTGCCATGATTAAGGAAATATTCAGAACTCTGTAGTGTTTGTAAAGTGCTTTTTTGATTTGCAAATTTTTCTCGGGATTGCATTTGTGGAAGTGTATGAGTGGAAGCCAAATGCATCTTTGACATTTCTCTTATGCGTTCCTGTCAATCAAATGGCACATTAAATTATTTTCCTCCTTTTAAGAAAAATGAATTAAATCATTATTTGAAGCTTTCTCGGGGAATAAAAAAAATGCAAAAATATTCAGAGGTGTATCTATGTTGCAAATAAATGTAATTCTGCTATTTCAATAATGATTTTTTGTCTCTGATTAAAATATATTTAAAGCTCACGCCTCTTTTTAAAGCAGCAAAGACATATGACTGTTTCTTTTCCTTTCAAAGGATTTCCTGCTGCAGATTTTCACTGTATTTCGAATACTAATACGACCAGAGATGTTTCCAAAAGACTGGACAGTGATGCGTTTGGTTGCAAACAAGTAAGGCATTTTTAATGTTAATAAAAAATACGGGTAGTATGCAAAGATCATGATATAAATAAGTAAAGTTATATGATGTATGTAATAAAAATTCAAAATACCTTCTATAATGCTGGCTGCAGTTTTTCATTTTCGAATTTAAGATTTAAAATCTCTGGACTTATTTTACAAGACAAATTCATAATATGATCTGTACGTCTTTCTATTCTGAATTTCAGTAAGCACATATAACTGCAAACTCAGAAACACTTTTACAGTATGAAGATGCTAAGCATCAACAGCTTTGTTTTCCAAGTAGCAAATGACAAGTCTCAACAGAACTTCATTTCAAATCTGTTTGTTGAAATGCTGAGTTGGTAAAGAACTGTTTGCTCTCAAGAAGAAATTATCTGCCGTAATATCATTAACGATGTTTTGCATGTTTGTTAATTTAGTGCTTGTCAGAAGAATGACAAATTAAAAATCACAAATCAGGAAATGACGAACAGCACAGGCAACAGTAACGTAGGGCTCTAAGCATTGCCTAGTGATACTTTGAGATGTAACCTGCCTTTGAGCTATTCTTTATCTGCTCAGGCCTTATTTTTAAAGAAACAGGTTCCCAGTGTTTCTGAGAAGTCATTACAACAGGTCTGAAACTACTGAATTTTATTTCACCTATATCACCAGCTGTCCTTTTTTGTAGGCTTAGCTTTAGATCAGATGAGCCAGCTGAACAGTCAACATGGTTATACAAACACCAATGTTGGCAGAGGAGGGGGGTTGTGTTGGGCAGACCTGGGAATCCACAATTTAGGATTGACTTAAACTTTCATGGTATGTGTTGCAATGCCTGATGGAAATTTGTTTTTAGTCTGTGTTGTGCCTGCTGGCTGCAAGGAGAATTAAATTCATCGTGCTGTACAGACTACTAGTAACAATATTATTGTTACAATTAAATTTGGCAAAACTTGTGTGCATTTTATACGTTTGTTATGTGTGTGTGTGGATATGCAGGCATCATAGTATTTGTTCAAACTTTGTCATGGCTTGAAAAAAATAACATTTTGTGCTCATTTTTATTACCTCACTTAGTGTTGCTAATCTTGCCAAATTTGAATTCCAGCAAAAAAAAAAATTGTTAGTAATCAAAGAATGGATATGATCGTTTATTTCTGTGTATGATATTAAAGAAGATACGGCTAATACCAGCCTGCATCTGGTAATCATGCTTAAGAAATAAATTGAGCAAAACAGGAAAGAGGGGAAAAAACATAGGAACTTTTAGACTAAATATATAATCTAAGAAATTGTTATATATTCCAGAAACAGCTGGCTTGGCAGATGGCATTGCAACAGCTGACATGTACAAAACTAAGATTTAGGAACGACCTTGGCACATGTTTCTTGGGCTGGTGGTGTTCAGATATGCTAAAGATGATGATACTAAGTTCTGCAAAAGGAATATTTACTTGCGCCAGTATTTTAGTTAGCATCACACATCTCCTTTTATTAGTCCATCTCATGTTGTTTCTGACAATCTAGGAGGTGACTCTATGTCCAGCAAAGAAGATAGGCAGAAGTTGACAATAACTTCTGGTGGGAATTGGCCACGAGAAGCCAATCAGATCGGCTAACTGAACCCGATAACACACAACTGCATAAGCATTTCTGCCAGCAAATGGGATGTAAACACATCTTTACCAGTTCGGCATTCAATAATTGCTTTGCTAGGCATTCGTTCCTTTGTGGAGGAAATGCTGGTTTGCTATGAAACGGGGTTGGTCAGGTGTACTTAAAAGTGTTGTGTGAACTGAAGGCTCATCATTCCTATGTTATATATCTACGGCTTAGTTTCTGTTCCTTTTTGAGGCAGCAGAAAGGAAAATCCACTTCTGTTCTCTCCTCAGCAGCAGAGCACTAGTTTCTCTGGAGCTGTTTCTGAACAGGAGCTCCTTCCTTTCACTTGTGTCCCCCACTGTCATTGTAGTGGCTGCCTTCCTTCAGCTTCCCCAGGGTTTTCAAAAGCACAGAACCAGAGAGTAGTAGCTTTGCTGGAATTGTCCCAACCCAAAATCTTTAAGTGCAAAGGGAAGAGCCTAGAGGCAGGATGAGAAATGAGGGCACTGCCTGCACCACAGACAGAAGTGGCTGTGAGCCATTCTCCCTGAGCTTCACTTGATGAGCCAGAGCACTTCCAATGATCTGAGACTCTTCAGGGTTGAAGGCAAAACTTCTTAAACTCCTTGCTCCTCCGCTCATGTCTAGAAGGTCTAGCCCATCTTTTTAAGAGCATAATCAAGTAATCCATTAACAGTCTGGATCTTTTCTAACTCCTGCTTCCCAGGAATAAAATGACTGTCGTGTTTCCTGTGTCAGATGGCCGTCTTCTTGGCTGTCTGGGCTTCAGCCCGAGAATCGGTAGCTAATCTGAAGGCAGTGTGTGTCTTGGGAGCTTCACCCATCACTGCAGTCACATCACCAGCAGCATTGTCTTTTCTCTCCCCTGTCCCTAGAGTGATACAAAAATTCAAACTGTCTGGTATTTACAGGAAGAGAGATTTAGCCTGTCTGAGCCTAGGGAAGAAATGAGTCCTAGCAAGGATATAATCAGGTAATAAGCTTTTCCCGAAGGGAAAAAAAAAATTCTTTTTTTCTCTTTTTTATATATGCAGAACTTCAATTACCGGAAAGATTTTTAGGTCTTAAAATGCCATAATTCTTTCAATATATGATATTTATATACAAAAATATTGCTGCCCCCTGGCTTCTGGATTTTTTTCTTTCTTGTTGCAGTGTTTTCAGTAATTATGTAGCATCTGATACTTGGATGCTGTCTGGGATAAAAAAAACCCAGAAGATACTGTGAGCTCAAGAAGACAAATCTGTAACTATCCAGAAATTAAGATATTTCATGATGACACATGCATAATCTATAATTCTGAATGTCCGGTTACCCAACATGAAAAAGTATTAGTGGCTAGCATTATAAAACTACCAAGTGAACTTCCAAAATTTGAGAAATAAAGTAACATTTAAAAAGGCAGACTTAGCACTAAAGCAGAGAAATAGATCTTTTTCGAATTGTGTTCTGTGGTGGGAGTCCTGCACGAAAAGAAGAATATGCAAAAAAATCCTCAATGTTTATTCGCTTCTAGCAGTCGAGCAATGAGACAGAGTTAATATGTTTAAAACTGCATAACCATGTAATATCTGCAGTGAGCTAATCAGCATACATTCAGCAAAGCAAAATAATTACTTATGGTTATCTAATATTTCTAACATCTGGGTTATCTAATATTTCTAACATTTGTTACTGGGTGACAAAATATGTTTTTATATATATAGTATGGAAAACATAGTTTTAATTTCTTTCATTATAGGGATAGACTTCCTTTCTACATCAACTAGGTAGTAAGCTAGCTTGCTGGCCCTCTAAGCAAAGCTTCTATTTGTAATGGCAAATCAACACCACATAATATAGGAAGATGTCTGAATCAGTTGCTTAGCGCCAGAGAGGAGTCCAAAATTCTATAATAAAATATGCCAGACTAAAATTGAAATTTCTGGATAACACCTTCATAACATCACTCTCAGCTGAAAACCACTGTGTAGTGGTCACTTGCCTAACTTACCCTAAGGTTAAGAAAAGAATCACTTATCTAGTGCTTTAATTGACTGGCATCTTTTGAGAGCGTTTAACAGACTCAGCTGAACTCCAGGTATGTCATGTTTCATTAACAATTGAGGAGGCTTTTGGAGAGCAAAGTGAGTTTCCATTACTTGCTGAGCAAAGATTTGATATTTATAACATACTATGCCTATGTATTATTGAACAATGAACTAATTTTCTACTGCTCTCAGTATGCAAGAAGCTTTCATTTTAAAGATCTCTGTATGATTAACTATGTATATCCTTTCAGCATTTTTCTGAATGGTAAAGATGCTAGATCATCCAATTCTCAATATGAATTTTATAAGCATACAAAATGGATGTGTGAATATTCTTATTTATAGTAAAATAATTGCTCTGTAAAGTAAAATTTACTATAGTGTGTTGCTTATACTAAAATTCCAAATATATCTACTGACAGTTGGGTATAGGGACTTTAAACAGAGAATCCTTTTGGTTATCTAATTCAATAATGACTGAAAGACATTATTTTTTTTTTTTTTAAAAAGTAATTCAAACGGAATACACAGTAAAGGAAGACATTGAATTAGCATTAGTTTCATCATTATGGCTGTTTTGAAGAATCCTGCTAGCTCCCATGGTGTGGGAGTCTGAGACTCCTACAATGAACAAAAATTCTTGCTTTTATGTAATACACAGTGTTGCTAACAACGTTCTTGCTTTTATGTAATACAAAATGTTGCTAACAACTGAACCTGACATTCAGTCTGTCACAAAAAGTATATATACATATAGGTATGCATGTATGAGTAAGTTTATATACATATAACAATAGATATATACACATGTATGTGACTCTACGTTCATTTAATTTATTTATGAAATATGAAAGAAACTTTTTTTTTGTTCAAACACTTCTGTGCTTGCAAAAATTTCACTCTGAAATAGAAAAGGATTAAATGAGAAACTAATGTTATATATTTGTCCCATATCAGAATGGGAAAGAAAGCTTTCATTTTCTACCATTGGCTGCCCAGGCAAAAGCCAGGTTGCCAGAGCACAGTCCAGGCAGCAAACCAGTTGTTGAACTTCTGGGGGCTGCTTTGGATTTTTCAAACAGGTTATTGCAAAGGTTTTCTGTGAAAATTTGATGGAAAAGCCACTCTGTCAAAAATGGCTTGGCCGGACCTTGGGTTAGCATTCTGTATATGAGCCCAGAATAATTTAGTAGCTAAAAGCAGAGGTTTTTCTCCTGTAAAACAGTCAGTGGTTGCGAGCAAATTTGTGGCAGGTGGTAAGAGGAAGAAAAGCAAGTCTTGTCACAAACTCAATGTTTTTTAGTTTGATATTCAAATGGATTTCAAATAAATGTTGTTGTTGTTTTGAAATCGTTGGCTGGGAAGCAACTTGGAATGTGAGTATTGTACCAGATCAGGCAGCTGTCCATCTATCCTCTGGCTGCTGTCTGCTTTGTGCATTTTTGCTTTTTTTTAATAGAACCTACATTATTTGTAGGAAAAGAGGAAAGAGAACGCCCAACCTCAGCAATGTTTTCTGTCCTACCTGATTTTAGTTCGTTGTGGATTCAGAAGAACAGACTGTGGGTCAAAAACAATGGCTTCATCTTTCTATGTTCAGTCTGATGTTTTGATTTTTTTTATCTACAACATACACACTCTTGCTCTACAGACCCACATTTTATCAACTAACCCAAATCAGATCTTTGGCTTACCAAATAAATCAAACCTGAGCTATGGTGCCTATAGCAAGAAATATCTGCATTGCAGTTACTCTGTTATCTCAGGAAAATTCGGGAAAAAATATTCTAAAACTTGCATATAAGATTTTTACTCTAGTTACCTTCTAATAAGAATTTAAGCAGATCTTTCTCTTCAGTTTCACCTGCCATGGAAGGAATGTGGCAAGAAAGGAATTGTCTCAGAAATAAATAGAACTATGTGATGTAAACTTGGCAATATGGTTGCAGTTCTTCAGATCTTGTGGAATTTTCTCTTGCATACAATTTTTCAGAGATTTATTACTTTGGACTTAGGCTGAAATTTTATATAGCAATAGTTCTGATGAACTGACCTTTTCTATCAGAACATCTTCCTGAAATACGCAAACTATTTCCATTTTGTGAAACATATGGGCTGTAAATTAAATAATGCAGAATAATAAGAATGACAGGACTCTCTTTCTTATCCATGCCTTGATTCTTAGCTTTGCTTATATTACAGTTTGTTAACGTTTCACTTTGTCTTCCATGCTGCAACAGGGAGTGCTGTACACACACTGTAACTCCCCCTTAGTGAAAAAGTGGGGTAAACTGTACAGATGAGTGCTAAACATGGAACACTACTTCAATAGAAAAACTACAATACAATTGTTGAAAAAAAATATATATGCAAATTATATTTGAGCAACGGAACTAGAACAATTGAAACTTGAGAATCAAGCAGTGTTCTAAAAACAATCTCAGTCTTGGCTATTACGGGCGTTCAGACACATCAAACCAGAAGGCAAAGTTTGGCAGGGACAGGCATTTTAAAAGTAGAGAAATGGAAGCAAACATTTGAACTAGTAATAAGCTAAATGACACATAGCCATTTTGCATTTATAAACTTGAAATCTGTCAAAAGTGCCAGAAGAAAAAAATAATTTATCTTCTAGGCGGGTTGGTAAATGTGTAATTCTTCAGTGTTGTGAAGATAAAAAATATTATACCCTTAAAATGTGTATATTACTGTTACTATATTTCATAAAACATGTTTTGTCTTGAATGCATTGCAAAAATAGTAAAAAATGAAGTCCAAAGTATGGAAAGAGAAACAAACTTTAGCATACAGGTCAAGAACCATGTTCAAAGAAGTACTAGATGTATTAATAGTAGATAGATGGCAATTAAATGAAATTAGTAGATACAACCTTTTTCTCAGAAGGTCTTTAAACAGTTGATTGTTGTAAAATACATGAGTGTAACAGCGAAAAGATCATTCTATGTTTATCTTTTTTCATCCCCTGTAAACATCCACTACTGACTACTTTCAAAAAGAATTTAATGGTTTATATGGATTTTTGGTTTGACTAAATATGTTGATAGACACAAGTGCTGCAGAGGTTAGCTTAAGGATTGAATCATTGAAATGAATTATATTTAAATAATCTGTAAGGATGTTCTGTTTCTGTAGATTACCAAATTTGGTTGCTACAATGAACAAGGCTGTCATTGACCTCTGGTGACAACCACTGTGAAAGGATTTTGGTCGTATATATTTATCTAAGATAAATTAATGTAATTTAGGCAGGTGTCAATGTAGGGCAACGTATGACCATTTGCAACATACAGAATAAAGATCTTTAGATGCAGAGCTCATGCAGTTTTGCATTTATCTGTTGTCATTAAAAAGACTCTTTGCCCATAGGACTGTCAATATTGTATATTGGTCATTACTAGGTATCTTATATTTATAATCTATACGCACATATTTCCAGTACCAAGAAAGCTGAAAGCAAATTGCCCAACTGTATATATTAGTGCTAGTAGGACAAAGTGTGTATTAAATCTGATATTAGCATTATTTGCAGAACAAAATCTATGGTTTGTCTTTTTCATCAGTTATATTCTACACAGAACATCTGTTTTCAGCATGCATTCTTACATCACACCTATTTTTATTATTTCTTTTCTTAATGTGCATGTTTTCTGTCAACAGGTGCTATTAGTAGTCAGATATTTGTATATGTTTAAAATGGAGTATTTAATGCCTCCGTACATGCTACACCTATTTCTTCACTGGAAAATTGTCTAGCTCTGAGTAATAAATATGAATTTCCACTAGTGAAAACTACTGTCTTTTTCATTCTTTTCTTCCCAGTGTGATCATTACTACAGTCTTGTACCTTTCGGATGCCCTTCGTAGAAACTTCTTAAATGAAAACTTTGATTACAAGGTAGAGTAAACGTGTCTAACATAGGATAGATGCAAATAGCTGCTACATCATCCCATGCCTTGGTTGTTTGTTGTTAAACTTAGCTCCAGCATCTAAACAGCTAGAACATATACTAAATCAGCAATTTCAAGTGCTCAGAGATTAAGTTTTTTCTTAAATACAGGACTGTCTTAAAAATCAGGATTGCTGTGGGTTTTTTTAATTTCTTCTTATTTTTCATTTTGTTATTTCAGCCTCTATGTCAGACTACTTATTCAGGATTTTTTCATAGCAATTTTTTGGATTATAGAAACTAATTTAATTATTTGTCTGTTATTTTGGAGTTATCGCAGAAAGGAAAATTATTCCATTTTTGAATCGATGCAAATTTATCAAAATGATGGGTTTACATTTCTGTGATTTCTCTCAAGACCAATTAAGATGCTTCATAATTAAAATTAGAAAATTATGACACTGCATGGTGAATGTAGTTAAAGATGTTAGTGAGTACCTCATATAGTGAGACATGACCCCTATGATAAACCGTGAATTACAGAATGATGCTTTTAGGATTCACATGAGAAGACCTAGGAATGTGTCTGAAAAGACCCATTCCCATTGAAACCTGAACAAATATTCTGCCCAGCCAAGAGACATTAGTCCAATTGCTTCATCATAAAAAGTGTAGAATTTCTTCCTAGAGAAGATGGCAAGCTCCTGTTGACTTCCAGCAGAGTTGTGGGTGCTTCTCTGAAAATCCAGACTCCTGTTCGAGAGATTGGCGGGAATGCAGATTTATCTGCTTGACATAACTGGACATGAGGAAGCCTATCCTTTAGGAAGTTCCACGAGTTCAGAGGCTAAAGCTGATAAAAGAATTGCCTGTAGACAAGGCATCTCTGTTCCTTAAACTTGCTTAGCAATGTTATTACTATCCTGCAGAACTGCAGTGTCTGGAATACACTCCCCCTACACTTCTTTCTTCCTCCTGCCATGGAGCATCTATAATTGGGTTATAATAATTAATATTTTAAATTTATCTTTCGATTTGTCTTTAAATCTTCTAAGTAGAAGGTTCAACATCTGATTCATAAAGCATGTGCACAAAACGTGTATATTTGCAATATGCTTACAAAACCTGGCTTCGGTTTTGTCCAGTGAAGCCTGCAGCAAGTGAGACTTGCAAACAATATTATAAAGTAGAACGGGCCAGAGAGTGACAATTCTGTTGTGTGATAGCTTTTGAGGTGTCAGAATTTTTTGGTTTTTGGACTTAAAGGCATAACTTTTTGTAGTCTTCTATTTAAATATACCAAAAAAATGTTTCCAAATCTAGAAGGTAAGATTTTCTGGTTTGGAGAGATGAAAAAAATTTATCTGCAACTCTGAAACGTTTACATTTAAGAGATGTAGAATATGTAAAATAGATGTATTTCTGCTGAACATTTTGGGGTTGTGAAAAGTATATTTGGATGTAAAGAAATTTAGTCATGAACAGTTTGAGTAATTTATTAGCTGAGACTGAAACAAGTGATGTGATTTGAAAATTTGCATCTTGAGTGGTCATAAAATGGTGGTACTGAGAAAATGAAATAACCAGATGCCATATGCTTATTGTAGATATGGGATTCCTACTTTTTTCTTGCTGTCATTTTTATAAACCAGTTATGTCTGCAACTGGAGATGTTCACACCTTCCAAGAAGAAAAAGGTTTTAGAAAAGTAAGTACTGCTGTCAGCTTCTAGAAGATTGTAATAGATTGAACACTTCTCAAAATGCAAGGCATGGGAGGTTGCAAAAAGGCCTACCAAAAAGGTAACGGTAACAGTATTTCCACTGACTAGAATGAGAGTTGGCTCTGGCCCTTTGTATAGGTCTTCAGAGCTGATAGCAGCCTTCATAGAAGTGCCCAAATTGGTTCAGATACTGGGAGCAAAATAGCCATGTTGAAGCAGTGCCAACGCTAATTTCCAGTTCATGCATAAGTTGATTCACAGTGGTTCAGGTGTTTCTGCCAAGCACTGCACTGTTGTCTGTATGAATTAATTGTATTTCTTTAAGCTAGAGCAAAACTATTTGTTCTCAGAGAGAGAACTACAGCATATTACTGCAAAAAATAGCTTTTGCTTCACAGCTGTGTTACTGATGCGTAGCATTTAGAAAGAACTGATAGTTTTGACAATATTGCAAATAAACCTGGGTTTAGGAATCCAGTTTTAGCTGGGTACAATGGAAAGAGCAAAAAATTGGAAGAAATCATCACTTTTAAAGTAGTTTTTTATGGACTACAAATGAGATATTTCATTTAACGATGTCACAGAATGGCATAGGAACTTGATTTTCTTAAATGATCCTTCACTGTTTTGCTTTATTTTTTAAAACATTGCAGATACGGTGACATGCGGGTAACAATGGGATGTGAAATCTTCAGTATGTGGCAAAATTTAGGTAAGTAATTAAACACATCATCAGTAGCTTATAAAATGAAAAACAAATGTTATTTCTTCACCTATTAAATACACTTGCCAGGGATAGAGGAGTTGTTGATAATTAAGTTCACATGAAGTCTTGATTCAAGTTTAGGAAAACCCTGGTCATCTGTAGTTCCCTTCTTTATAGCTAAATTCAGCTTTCTAAGCCTTGATACTGTATCTGACCTCTCCCTGTTTCTTCAAAGAGAACTGAGAGAATACCATCAGAGAAAATTAGAAAAAAAAAGTACTGCTGGTTTTGGGCAGAATTATTATGCCTGGAAATATACTTATGTTCACAATTTTAGTTCTGTTGCCAAACAGTTTAAGGAACAGACATATATCTTAACTCTGAAGGTCTCTTGAGATGCTGGATTTGCATCAAATCTTCCCCTAAGTCTGAAATATAAAGGCATAAACAAATCAGTGACTGATGTATAAATGACACGTTGGACAACACAAGAAAAATATATGCTTGGATATAAACTTAGGAACATTTTTATATTTATAAGCAATAACCATGCAAACTGTTTGAAAGTATGAGCCTCAGAAAAATGCAATTAAATGTTGTTTGGGAAGAAAATCAAAACTGAGTAGAAGATATTTGGACACTATGTTTGTCATCTTTATATTTCAATTATTCAATAATTCATTTCATTAAAGGGCTCATTAAAGATATGAAGACCATTGGTGGTTACTGAGATACTGTCATCTCAATTCTATAAATCTTTTTCCCAGCAAGATATGTAGTTGTAAAAAAATGGTCTTTCTGATCAGCCTGTACTAGAAAGAGAAATGTTCAAAATAAGAAATATTTGCTTATTAATACCTTGTTAACATTTGTTGTGTAGCATATTTTACTTATTTAGAGTATTTAGTATTGCTTAATGCACTAAGGCATAATAATCCCTCTAAATTATTTGGATACATGATGGGTATTTCTAAACTGGTATATCAAGGATCCACTCCTGGGTCCCATCTCCTTCCTGCATGCTAGGATAAGATCTTAGTGTGTATCATCTTCCCACTCACATTGTTTTCTGCTGAACAGAAACCGCGTGTGCAGGCAAGGAGGGAATCATAATGCCTTTCAATAGGGGCGAGTTCTGTGGGGTACAATATGGAGTTCATCTGGTGTCCAATTAAATACTGTAGTCAGGATATTTCACATAATTGGTGTTATGCTAGTTAGCATTTTACAGTTCTCTTAGACGTAAGAGTCAACATAAGCCTAAATCCTTGTACTCCTTGTACAGTCACCTTGCTTTCATATGGATATACATCCCAGGATGTTTCCAGCAGAGGGAATTCTGGATTTCCTTTGCACAAACACAAACACCAAACAGAGCAGCTGGCAGAGGTTACTGCCCTCTGGAATATTCAGAGGTAGGCTGGGATGGAAATGAATTCCCAGCTTGGGAAGTCAGTGCATCATGATTCATAATCCCTCTATTCTGAAGACATTGGAAGTCTTACGCCTGGAGAACTGAAACTAAATGGTCAATGTTTACTGTATGGCATTTCTAGCTTTCCTGACAAGAACTTAGTTTTGTAGTTTCTGCTAAGTAGAATATGGTGAGTTAATGGAAGTTGTTTTAGCACTGATTTTAAGCTGTTTTAAGAACAGCTGAGTCACATCTTCCCTTTCCTGCAGTCAAAACATGTACTTCCATTTCCATACTCACAAAACTAAAGATAGGTAAAAATCAAAGTACTTACCTCTTTTTGATGAGTATGTAATATCAGACAGTTAACCATTTTGTAAACACAAGAATGTAGAGCTTAGAAACCAAACCATTCCTGTGAAAAATAAATGAAATGCTCAGAGAGGGCTTTGTCTCTGTTCTCCTTCTGGAAGACTAACTTCTGAACTCGGTATTGCATAATAAAATCTGATAAATTATGTTGGCCTTATATTCTTCTATTATCTACAGCTTTTCTCTGCACTTTTTGGGCTTAAGAAATAGCCCATGCTATTGGGCTAGTGATGGAAATGACATAAAAAATCTATAAACATTTAGAGTGCTATTTTTTAATTCTTCAGAGAGTATTTGGATTGCTTGATAGCTCACAGGACACCCAATTTACACTCACATTCAAGTTCATGTTCATTTTCATTTTAGGGGAACACAAGCTTCACTTTATTCCAGCATTGATTGGCCCCTTCCTGGAAGTGACCTTGATCCCTCAGCCAGACCTGAGGAATGTAATGATTCCCATTTTCCATGACATGATGGACTGGGAGCAAAGGCGAAGTGGCAACTTTAAACAGGTACTGTATGTGAAGCAGTTTGTAAAACAGGACTGAAATTCAAGCACTTCAGAGAGTGCTGGTCCCCAACCATTAGTGGTTCAGGGTGGAGAAAGTAGCCACATTATACCTGTTGGAGAGGGACTACCAGGGTTTTCTCTTTTTACTCTCTGTAGGGGTAGTAAGATTCTCCAATTAATACTATCATGTTAGTAATGTAGGATGAGGAATAAAATCCATGGGCTGCTGAAGTGAAGAACAAAACTTGAGTTTTCTTCAACAGGCAGATTTTGTTGTGGTGTTTTTTCATCTATGCTTTACAGCAGTACAGACTACTCGTTAGATAGGATTCAACTAGCTTCCCTTCCGGTTAGTATGAAAAAAGATCAGATGGTCCTTCTGAGGAATGTTCTTCTGTAAGGATCCAAGTATTCTTGCTGCTCAAACACCTTCTTAACAGGATAGGAAGGAAAGACCAAGTGTGCCATCTGCTCCCGCCGCTCCCACTCAGTTCTTTCAGACTGCCTTAAACCATTTCTCAGTGCCCTCCTTCCTGCTGCTTCAAGTGAAGGAAAGCAGAAGTATTTGAATTACTCCCAGGCAATCATAACGCTTAGTGTGGGAGCTGTATTTGAAATACAAAACAAACTATTAAGAACGGAGGAGTGCATGTGATGTAAGTAGGTAGCTTTTCATTATCAATATATAAGCTGATTGTTAAAAATCACCATAGAAATGTTAACAAGGAATGAGAAGGAAAAAATCCACTTGTTCTGCTTCTTTTTATTTTCAGCTTGGGTTTAAATATAAATTGTAATAGATTTATTCTCTAATAAAATATCTTGACAACAGCTTGGTTTCTCCCCTAGATTTGTGGTTGCTAATATATTACTGCTAAAAAGGAGGTTTGAAATATTAACACACAGTGTAGCCTTACCTCTATATTTTTTATAATTGAGACACTTAAAAATATGCATTGAAGGTGTCATTAGCCACCAGATATATTCTGTAAGTTTCTTTGATAGCTAATACGTAAATCCAGCAAATTGGATTTCTAACCAAATACACTGGCAGGTAAGGAAGGTTGGGAAAGTAAGTCTGAGCCCCCAGGTGTTCTGAACACTACAGATATTTATAAAAATTAATTTATAAAGAGTGGGGTGCAGGTCAAAGATGATGATATTTTTCTTGAAGTCTAAGAAAATGGCTTGCGCTTATAGCCCAGCAGTGAGAATTCAGGCAATTTATTTGGGCTGTGTGGTTTTTGTCTGACTCCATAAATAGATAGCTGCCTTAGCAGCAGCAAATGCTACTCAGCCTGTAGTTTTAAAGTCACGTTGCTCAATTTAAATTAGCTCCCTCCCTCAGGAAAAAAAAAAAAAAACACCACCAAAAAAAGAAAACCCCACAAACCTTGGGAATGATAACAGCTTCAAAGATATGAAGTGACTTATCATCAGATTTACATGATTGACCAGTAATTCCAAGATACACATTTAGCAAAGTCCCTTACATAAAAACAAATCTTCCCTCAATTTTCTCTAATCTCATTAAAGGAAAAAGAAGCTGTTTACAGCACACTTATATGTTGCAGGTGGAAGCAAAACTGATTGACAAACTGGACAGCCTAATGTCAGAAGGTAAAGGTGACGAAACATACCGAGAGCTCTTCAACAGTATGTGAGTAATATATTTATCTTATGCTAATTCCTTGAGTTTGGTTGGTTGTATCAGATACTAATGTCATTGTAGAGAAGTAATGCTTAAAACAGTTGTGAATCTCGTTTTTTCTTTTTTTTTTTTTTTTTCTGAAAATCTGAGGAATAAAACATTTTATGATGTTGTATGGCATCTGTAAAGTCTGGCTGTACTTCTTGCATACGGCTATAATTGGGAAAGGCTAAATCTGTTATATCACAGAACATTCTCTTTCTCTACCTACTAATTTTAAAATCAGAAAAGCAAGAAATGCTTCATAATTGCATAGGGTGCAGGTAGAGCTCAAATGGAACATTTTGAAAACCAGGCATGAGAATTCAACAAAAAGCTGTTTAACAAGTAATTTTCTATTGCCAGAAACTTGTACTCATCTGTGTAATGTCACTTGTTGATTTCTTGATTGATGTATACAATTTTATTTATTCTGATAAGATTATTTCTTATTATTTTCTTTTATAAATTACTTGTTAAGCTTTTAGTATGTTCTAATAAATGACATATCACTGAAATCTAATAGGAAAATCTAATAATAATGCTGGAGTCCCTAAGGTTGCCCATAAGTTTTCCCATTGACTGAAATAAATGATTGTCACAGAGTATAGGTACAAAATAACTAACTGAACTCTGTCTCTGTTGTTCCTCAGAACTCAATTCCACCTAAGTGGAAGATTTCACTTATTTCTGGTGTGTTTAGTAGGAGATGTATTGTTCCTCTTCAGGATTCCAAGCTGTGTATTCTTCAGTACTATAAATGCATGATCTTTTTCTGTTTATATGGCTTCTTAACCATTCCTTCCTCTTAAGTGTTAGTTTTAACTTTATTGTCTTTGCTTAAGTAATAACATTCAGATCTCAGTGTCTGTGAATAGCAAACATATAATAATCTGTAATTGTATTGAGTTGAAAAAAATAGAGTTCCTAAATATTTATCATTTACAGAAGCAAAAGTGGGTGGAGAGATTAGGCAGAATATTATGGAAATGGATGAATAATAGTAAATAACAGTACAGTATGCTAAAGCAGAAGTTTCTTGTAATTATTCATAAAATTTTTCATAATCTGAGTAAAGAAAATAAAAGGTAAGATGATTTCAGTATTTTAGTAACACAGTATTCTAACTTCAAAATTAAGCCATTAAGGGAAAAGCTCTAATTATAAAATGAAGTATAAATGCATTCTCATGTGCAAAATACATCAGAATGTCTGCACTGAAATAACTTAAAATTCTATAAGAAAGCATATTGATATGAAATGTAGTTCCTAATTTTTTTACGGTTTTGAGTTAGATTTAAACTGGGGGATGTTAAACAATATACAGTGAGAAATGGTGAGAACCTTTTACAAATCTAAATGCTGAAGACATAGTCATAGTAATTTAAATTGCAAAATGTCTCACAGCATCAGTATACTTGTTTCTGTTCTGGTATAACAGAAGTTAAAACTCAGTTCTTTGGGAATTTTCAGAGTAACAGCTCAAGTTCACTTCCAGCTTAAAAAAAAATAGTATTTATCATTCGTTTTTTATCTGAGTTTGATTTGACTCCATACATTAACACCTCTCAAGAGGAGAGCTTGCAGAAGATACTAATCTAAAATGGAGGATGACTAGGGTATGTGAAGGAAAATCAGATGGACAGTTTAGGGAGCTGAATGCAAGGGATGGGGTCAGCTAGCCTGAGATTTCTTTTTTTTATTTCTTCCATGGATAATTTAAGATAAGCAATATTAGAGTGTTTTTAGAGAGTGCAAGAAAGCAGGCTTGTTAAGGCTGAAGTGAGAGAGATGTGGTATGTACCCAAGGACTGTGAAACAGTAATATAGTTTTGTAGCAAGCAGTGGTTTTGTAGTCTTTAATGAAAGCAAATGCTGCAATATTACCTGATCTTTCTGAAGATTCGGCATGGTTGGTTTTAATAGGTACACTTGTGAGCCAAGGGGATGCACACATCTACTTTGGATACAGTCTAGTAACTGCAGTGGGTGTGACACTTCCAGGTTTTGTCATGCTTTTTGTTTATTTTGTCTGAATCGGAAAATTAATTTAAATCTCTCAACTTCCACGTTAATTGCTTTTTTCCCAGAGACAATCACTGCATCTTTCCTTTGAACATCTTCTCTTTTCAAGGACAAATTATGAGCATTTCTGGACATATCTGAAATATTATGTGCTTAGATTTCACCGCTTATAATGGAATTATCTTTATCAAATGAAAAGACATAGTGAAAGTAGGGGAAGATGACTGCTGTTTGTTTTGAATCAATGTCTTTCTAGCGACTTGAATGTGACCACTCAGTGGTTAGCTCCTGATGTCATTTGAAGAACTGCAAAGCATGGAGTAGTGAACATTTTGCTATCATGAGAAACTAGATGTTGTAATTGCTACCCAGTGTAATCATGGTGTGAAAGGTGTCCTGATCTACATTTACACTGTAACACTGCAATTGAATTCCTGAGTTAATTAGCACAGGGAAAAGAATGATTTCACTTCATTAAGCAGTTGGTGGTTAGAACAAAATCCTTGGAAGCCAAGATATATACTCAACTAGCTCTTTTATTCTGAATCTGATGGATGCTGACAGTTTATTACTTCTGTAGCTGTATTCTAGTTTGGCCTAACACAAGCCATTTCAGGTTTGGAGGTTAGGTGGCCACATTATTGAAGCACAAAACCTGGGCTAGTGAGCTCCACTGGGTGCCTGATGACAAGGCTTCTCTTTGAAGAAATTGGAGCTGACATTCAAGCTGAGCAGGCATTTAATACTCAGCTCTGCCAGTTTCTCTAGCCATGAAGCTATTATATAAAAAGTGATGACTGCTACCTCTCCCGTGCTGTCTTCAGTTGCATGACTGAATTCAGCACTGCCCAGTCTGTTAGACTCTGTCTGGACTGAGTCTTTCAGAGCCCTTCTGAATATTTTTGCGGGGTTTGGGTAGCTCCTTACTGATCTCTGAATTTTTGCAGCAAAGTTTGACTTTGACTCATCTAACTAGTTGAGGGAACCTGTGGCTATAGTGAGGTACCTGGAGGACTCCGAAACAGACATCCAGATGTTTTAAGGCAGCTCTAGGATTAGATGCCTGTGAGTTAGTGGTCTGAATAACTCTGTGGATTAGGCATATAAAATCCATTTACTACATGATTGAGCTAGCCTGAACATGGTTCTAAGCGTGGTGTCCATCCCTGGAGAGCTCTGATCCTCTGGGTCCCCCCTCCAGTCTCTTATTCTTGGGAACCCAAGATTAAAAAAAAAAACCCAAACAAACCCCCCAACTGTTCAGGTGAGCCCAGATGGCAGGCTATAGTAGCATGGATAAGGCAGAAATGTTTTCATTGTTTCTCTGTGTTGTTTATCACCTTAGCACTTTGTAGGACATAGCATCTTGTCTATGCTTTGGGACCTGTAAGTAAGAGGAATTTAGTTCTGTCTAGATATAGCCATGAGGAAGCCAAGGGATATATTTGAGTAGCTCTTTCATTCTAAGTGTTTGTTCTGTGCGTTGTGGTGAAAGATGTATGGTGAAGAGGGGGAGGCATGCATCAGAAGGCAAGTCATAAAATTGTTCAGCTGATGACACTGATGTCAGTTTGAGTAAGTAGTTTGAATGTATCTACACAACCCATTTGTAGAAATTGTATATTTAAAATGAATATGCCAATACATTTATAAAGAACATGCATAAGTCAAATACAGATGAAAACCATCTGTTTTAAAAGAGAAGTCAGACTTCTGCTGTTTTTCTACAGGAACTGTAGGTAATTATTTTGATGAATTTAGGTTGAAATTTTCCTGTTTAACACAGAGTTGAAACGCAATAGAAAGGAAAAATCAGTGCAGTAATCAGTGCTTAATAATGTAACAGGGTCTACTCTTATTTCTTGTTAGACGCAAAAACTTGTACTGAAAGGAACATAAGGGCTTTAAAAGCGAATTAAGTTAGCCTGTATATTCTGTATGGAAAGCAGAGATGCCAGATTAGTGCTTCAGCCTCTTCTGGTTAAGGATGGCCTTGTCATCTGTCTCTGCTAGCAGTGACAGGTAGCCGGTCTCTGAATGTGAGGGAAAGATATCTGATTGCCTCCTAAAGAGAAGTAGTGAGTCTAAGATCGATATAAGGGTGCAGAATGAAGATCAATGTTTCCTTCTTGCTTCCAGCAGAGCACAGCTTCATTTAGGTCGAATTAGTTTGGAGAATTGCATCTGTGACATCTCCCTGTATGTAAGGAGCTGAACAGAGCTGGAGCATATAGCTAGTGCAGTTGGCATGTAGGAGTTATTGGGCGCTGTTATATGTTTGGTGAAATTTGGACGTAGGAGTTTTATGGGACTGAACATGCTCAGTATAGATGAAGGTCAGTGGAGCTGACAACGTGCCCACTGCAGACAGAAGGTTTGGAGATGCTATTAACAACTCTCTAAAAAGCTCTGAGTATATGGATGTGGCAATTTTCAGAGACTTCTAAGTAAACCATACCTGAGTGCATTTTCAGGGAGACTGCAGAAATATCTCCATGGGCATGTCATCCATCTGAGGTCCTGCACTAAAGCATAAAAGTAACACAACTCTGTAGATAAATATTTCTTTGTTCATTCTCAGAGAGGAAATGTTGGAAATTCATGACCAAATGATTAATATTTGATAAACTTAGGCAGTGAAAATCAGAGGCCTGTAACAGAAAGAAGTATTAAGTATAATTTTACTGATGGCTCCGCTTACAACACCATTTTGAAATCTTTTCACTTCAATGTGTAATCTGCATTTACATTAGTGTAAGAACTCAACACAACAGTTTTTAATAAAGAATCTTATGACAATTTAAGGTAATGGAATTTTACATGTGCATGATAGTATGTTCTCAGAAGGAAATGTTAAGTGAAGAGGGGGAATCACCTTATTAAAATCCCTTCCCCATTCTTAAATTTCATGCATACTGAAATATTAGAGAGGAGAGGAGGAAAAATCTTTGTTAAAAAAGTTGAGGTCCGATTGAGAAGGTATATTGAGTTGATAAATATTCTTTTCCAGGTACATCTTTAAACTCCCCATTTTCTGACGTATCCGCATGAAATTAATATATAAATTTTATATAAGAGTTCTGTTAGGTCTTTGGGATATTAATATATTCTGAAAATTAGGTATTTGATACATTTTAACCTGATGCAGCTAATACAAAAATCATTTGTTTTGTCAATGCTTCCTGGACTAGAATTCCACTTTTTGGTCCTTATCCTAGGTAAGACATTGTTTGCAAATTGTGCTTCTTGGGAGGGTGTTTATAAAAGAAAACCTAACTATCGAAGATGTTGCTAAGGTATTAAGGTACTGGTAAAAGCAGAGTGGTTGTCATAGTGACAGTTAAAAATAAACGGTGAAATTGTTCTGGCTTCTTTTTTTTTTCAGTCTACTGAAGAAAATTGAGCGGGAAACATGGAGGGAAAGTGGCGTTTCGTTAATCGCCACTGTGACTCGCCTCATGGAGAGGTTACTGGACTACAGGTGAGTGATTATCACAATTTATAAGTAGGGTTGTCATCTTCAAAATACTAGGAGGCAAATATGGTGATCTTGCGCAAATGGTGACTGCACATGGACACATCAACTGTACGTGCTCAGGATCTCTGACAGCAGCTGCTTAATCAACAGGAAAATGAGACAAGCTAGCTGAAAACCAGCCAAGTAGCCTCCCCATGGTGTGAAAATCCAGTGGTTTGCACGAGTTTCCTATCAAGGAATATAGGAACTTTCGGTAGCAAGTTAGTGACTCAAGTCTGTCTGAAGACACAGAGCTCAATACTAATCACCTGACAGTTGTTTTACAGAATATGTAAAATTCTTAACACTGTGTCAATCACGCTTAGTTGTAGTGTCAGCCAGCACAGTAAGTATGTATACAAAGATGTGATCTCTGGGTGAGAAGCTCGCATCTGACTCTACCACATGAACAAAGGAGAGGGAAATAAGAGACGTATACTCCCTTTTAGGAGTGGGAGACTAAGAGGGATTTTCTCAGTCACTTGTGAAGTCCGTGTAGAAACTTCAGATTTCAGCTTAGTCCTCCTTATTGCCATCAGTTGTAGCACTTTGCAGAGCTTAAGTGTTAGTTTTTTCCCCCAGTTCCATGGAGGACACATGGTAAGACCTAGTACTCCACTTGCTGTCCTCACTGATAGTTTGAAAGAAAGCTGTTTTGTCAACAAAGAGACTGAACTCTCAAATTCTAGAAGCCTGGGAGTGCTATTCCTCTTCAGGGACTGGTTGGATTACAACCTCCAGGGCTATCAATCCAGTATCTTTCAAAACAGTTGTGCGTACTCGTGGTTATGAGATTATTTGGGACAATCATTTAGCTCATGTATGCAAGAATGTTTTAAAATTACGTTAAATTTCTTTTAGTGACTGCATGGTGATGTCTGCCTGTTATTTTTTTACTCCAGTATAGTTACACTGACACTGTTTTTCCCTTTGTGAAAATCAAACTCTGTGTGATTCCATTTTAACTTTTGACTTGGGCGTCAGATCTGTTGCCTCCCCAAACAATAAATGATACTAATTATAAAGTGGTACTAAGGAAAATTTGGTGGATCTTGGAGCATTTTACAGAAGAGGTCAGTATCATTCTGTTTTTTCACAGAATAGGAACTAATGCTGTAATTCCATGACCAATTTAGATGTACGCTGTCTCTGAAGAGAGCAGACTCATCCCTGCTCATTCCCTCATTCACATCACCCTCTTCCTTGTGCCAACACAAGTGTTTGTGCTGCACTTTGGTGATCTGACTGATGTGGGCTAAAACTAACCCAGCAAAAGATGCTGCCTAACCTGTATCTCTTACTGAGATTTGTGCAGGCAGCAGTGCAGGACTGGGAATGAGTGACTGAGAGCAAGAGGGGAGCAGGACTGCCTCTTCTGGCAGTCATCCTGGCTTCTGCTGGCATGATTTGAGCACAAGGTATGAAGAAACCAAGTCACCTAGCAAATCAATGACAGAGCCAGGAAAAAATATTGACTTTCTTGACTACTGAGGTGTTGCATGTCCTAGAAAAGGAGGCGTGAAATCCCTTACACACCTGGGTCAGCTCTTCACCCAAATGCCTTTGGGTTGCACCATTTCAGTCAGCTTGCTGAGCCAAATATGTCTGTTTTCTGAGGTGTGTTTCACTGTAAGAGGATAAACGTCATTCCTTTTGACTTTCATTACTTTCTGTTTTAGGGACTGCATGAAAATGGGAGAAGTGGACGGCAAAAAGATTGGCTGCACTGTTAGCCTTTTGGTTTGTATACTACTTTTTCTTTCCCTTTTTTATTTCAGTTAAGCATTTTCTGGTATACAGCCGCACATCTGAATAGAAGGTACCTTGCTTCTTGATGCAGTTTAAGTGGAAGTTGACAGAATAACATTGCACTTAGGATCACTGATTTTTTTTTCAGGGTGAAATTGATACAGTGGGGAGTTAGTCTTCCTTGGCATTTTATAGTTGGGCTCTGAGAGATCTCTAATACTGCTTTATTCAGTTTTCAGTGTCTTCCTCCTGGATAGACTTCACCAAAGTATTTTCCAAGTTTAATTGGTCTCTGAGTTCATAGAAACAAACAAGCCTTTCCTCCTTCCCCAAACTCAACAAAACTTACATGATTTCTCCTGTTTCCTTTCTTCCCCAATAACTGACGCAAGTTGGTTCTTATGACATATAATATGGGATATCTTCTGAAGACTGCAGGCTATCTATTCTCTTCCCAATAGAAGAGCCAGAAATGCTGCTCAAGACCTGCTCTTGTCATGTTATCATCATTACAACAAACCAACAGTGCAAATTCATAGTATGAAAAAGATTTCATTTTTGTTTACAAGATGCATTTTGGTTCTAGGCCAGTTTCCCCTGACAAGTTTGTTGACTTCCGTTAACCTTGGAAAGTTTCCATTTTCATGGTGAATGTTTTGGAAAGCTATATTTTTAGCCAGGGGAAAAAACAGAATAAGCTGACTTGTAATTCTGCATTTTTGACGTCAGTGAAACAATTTGGTATCACTTCTAAGTAGCAGTTATACATAAGAGAATAAAGGATTTCTTCAGTAGGAAAATAGTGCTCTCTAAATAGGGATGATGTTTACTACGTAGCCATAGAGCAGCTGGCTTTCTGTCAAAATATCTGGCATGATCTGAATTCTGTAAAGCACCTGGATTATTTTCATCCTATCAGTAAGGAGTTTTTAAACTATTATTAGCAAATCATCCAAGATTTGCACAAAAAGAAAAATCAAATATTTAAAAACCCCAAAACACCATAATACTTTTTAATGGGATTTTCAATGACTTGTACAGACTAAGGCGGATTTCATATCCTAATTATTTTCGGACAGATTTTAATACTATTTGCACACCAGAGAAACAAAGAATGCTAAATTTTGAAAAGGAAATTTCAATTACGGAAGTAGCATACAAATTTTAAGACATTTGTTTGCCCATATGATGGCTGAACTGGTTGTCATCTCAAAAGATGTTTCATGCAAAGAGTAATGTATAATGTTAAAATTATTTGAAGTCCAGAGAAGGAAGCAATATTTCATTTTTCACCACTACTTTGAAGGTATTCTGACTTCCAAAGATAAGCGGACTGGTTGACATGAAGAGAGAATTTTTATGTTGTTTTGCCATAGAGGTATATGCTGTTCTTCCAGAAAATAGAATTGTCCAAGTTAACCAAGTTATCAAATTAGCTGGAATTATGCCACATCATGAAATATGCTGAAGGAGTATTCACCAGCAGCAATAACTTAGATGAAAGGAGAAGGTGGGAACTTGTTTCCTACTCTCCCCACCCTCTGGATCATCTGGAGTAGGTTTCACATTAGTAATGCTTGTTTGGAAAAGCTGGTTTAAGAGGTGTCTAATGAAGTTAGTTCCTTATGCATAAGAATCACCTAACTCCAATTTGAAAGTTGAATTTCTAATGAAAGAACTCTGTCATCAGAGTTGTACAAAAGCATTGAAAGTATATCGAATAACTTTTGATAACTCACCAGGAGTTTTTCTCAGGCATATCTGGTCCTCATCGGGGTTTGATATTTAATTGATATTTCGGGTTCTATTAATTTAAAATTATATCTTCTTTTTAGAAAGAGGACATTTTCCTGTGATGCTCTATGCTGGCATATGACATTATGCCATTTAAGTAGAACATGTCCACGTTGCCTGCTTGAATGTTGTTTTCAAGCTGTTTTTTCTTAGGAAAAAAGTCTTTGTTAATTAGGGAAGTCTACTTTTTACATCATGTCCCCTTTTGAAGACTACATCTGTTATATTTTATCTCTTGAAATAGTTTCTTGAAAAATCACACAATACCTTTATTAGCACGATGTATTTCCTGAGCTGCGACTGGGTTGTCTTGCTGTGGTCTGCCTTACAGACCAACTGGACATTGTCAGAGCTGAGCTGCAGAGAAGAACCAGTTGATTTGTGTAGTTTAGACTTGTGACAGGTACTGGAGCCTTTAGTACTTAGCAGTAAGAGCCAAGTCTAGTACTGCAGTTCAGTGCCATATTTTGTCTTAATCTTTGTGCTTTATTGCTCGCAATTCTGTATTGTAGATTATGCTTTTTTTCAGACAGGTAAGTATGAACATGCAAGCAGATATTTTTTCATTTTCTCTTCTAAAGAGAAAAATCTGTTCCTGCTCTACACCTTGTGGGAGGAAAAGAGAAGTCCTTGGATGATAAAGGCAGATGGTGGCCTAAAGGGGGCATGTCATTACAGAGCTATTGATATGTAGTAATTTTCTCAAGTCAGTTAAAAAAATACTTTCTCTATAACATTTTTATTTCAATATTTTCATAATGTTCCTCCCACCTTTCTCTTTGATAATAACTCAATTTAGGAAACAGTGGCACAGAATAAGAATACTGTATAATAGGGGAAAAATTTTGGCCACTCACCTTAAGTTCAAAATAGTACGTGATTTGAATAATAGAACAGAAATTGTTAATTGCTAATGAGGACCAGTGCTAGATTCTTATATCCTATAAATTTTTATTAACCAAAGCAGATTATCCTGAACATTAAGTATGGCTAGGAGGGGAACTCTAGCTATATGCCCATAGTGAGTACAGCAACACTTGTGAACAGTGCTCCAGGGTTGTGCTCCTCTCCCTATAACTTTTTCATACTTTGTTTTAGGGCTTGCAAATAAATAATGAATGTTTTGAACTAAGAGTTTGATATTGCATCCCATATTTTATCCATGTAACAACAAATAGCAATTACACATTCAGAAATTTTTAGCCATTTCTAGAAATTTTGTCCTGGATATCACTTTAGAGTGCAACTTCGTATATTTCTATCATGCAATGCAATATCTATGTGTCAGTTACCAGTTCCCAGTATCAGTTAGGGCTGAAGAAATCACGTTTTTCATTCAGGATTGTGCTGTTTACAATACTGAATAGTTCTTTGTAAAGCCACCAAAGTCCTTCTGGCAATTTTGCTATGACAATATTGTGCTGTCAGTATTTTAAAACTAACATACAGCTTTCAGCAAGACATTAAACGGCCTAAGTAAGGCCATTATGGGTGCACTTTTTGGATGGATTGGTATTTATAAAGAAAGAACCATCAGATTTCAGTTCTATCAGGTTCTTCCTTTTGTGTTCTGTGAGAATTTAAATAAAAAAACATTCAGGAGCATGTTGACTTCTCTACTGAAAATTTATTATTCCATTTACTGTTTCTTAGTGTATTACTGCAATTCTGTGTAATGACTTTGTAAATGTGACTTTCAAATCTATGCATGTATTTCTACAGCATTATGTTTGAAGTCTTGTGTTTGTAACCACTATCATATATTTATTAACTACTACATTTTATAACAAAATTCGATTTTGTTGCAGAATTTTTACAAGACTGAACTGAACAAGGAAGAGATGTATATTCGCTATATTCATAAGCTGTATGATCTACATCTGAAAGCACAAAACTTCACAGGTAATAGAATACAAACTAGAAAAAGATATTTAGGACTGGTCATGATTTGCAGTCTTTTGCAAACCTGTAAGCTGTGTCCTCAGTGCAGAACATACCAACCCAGGCAAAACAGCTGAGTTTTCTTGAGCAATTAATCTCTCTCAAAATACAGCTTTTTTTCAGCCCCACAACTCTACTACTTGCTGTGTCACGTTGAATGTAAATGACTACTATTGTTACATGTTAGCAATAAATGTGTGATATGGTCATTCTTCACCCAAGAGGAATAAAGTTTAGAGGACGTTTTTATGAATCCATTTGGTAGTATCTGAGCCTATATACTTTCTTGTAATGCTGCTGGTTAGCTGTTTGGTGTGGTGTTTCTACACAGCTGTGTTTCATAACCTAACTTTTAGGTTAAAAAAAGAAAAGAAAGGAAGACCCATATCACTTACTAACGATGAGACAGGGACCCTAAAACCTGTAACAAGAATAGCACTTTGCTGATGTCTTTCTCAATTTTCACATACCACATTTGCAGTACTATTGTCCAGGATTTCTCAAGGCAAATTTAGTGCCAGGACTGGCCATCATCTTTTAAATGAAGAAATAAGAAGATAATGTGCATGGTTGTTGTTTATACAACGTAAAGTATATCTCATTTGGGTAACTCATGTCATCAGTAATTGCTGGAGAAGATAAAATCAGTATCTCTTTAAATGAAACAATCTTTGGTTGCCAAAATATTTAACTGACCTTATAATACCTCCATCTTTTCCCCAGTGTTTGCAATTGCAACTGCATTTGTTCAGAATGTCTCCAGAATTTTTTCCTTCTTAGAAGCAGATTAGTTGGCTAGGGGTCACTAGTAAACAGGCTCCAGGTACCTACTGCCACAGCAAATTTCCTTATGCTTTTCTGCTATCCGTAGGAAAGATCCTTTGCTTGGAATTTCCACAGTCCCTTTGCAGTTCATGGGTTTAAAGTGTAGACTAGATAGCAGGATATATTAAGGAGAGATTTTCATTTCCTCATGTGACCTGGCAGTAGTGAGTCACAAGAGAGTTTTTGATTATCAAACAGTATCTTTGCCACAGCTGGCTTTTGCGCCAAACTATTCATTTCCTGATTTTACATAACAGATCTTAGTAACTTTTTAAGCAACTCTTTAAGTTGAGTTCTCTTTACACATTGGCTACTAATATGTGTCCAGTTTACCTTCAGCAGTGATATGAACCTAATTTTTTTAAATTGTTTTGCCATCCATTCTTATTTTAAACAGTATTTTGCTCAAAATTTATCTCCAGGGCTTTGTTGTATTTCCTGTGTATTTATTATTAACATGTGTGATTTTTGCATTCTTTGCCATGGTAGATTCCACGACTGATTTTTTTTTCTTTTTTGCCATGAGAGCCTTAATGAGGGATAGTCTCACACCCATGGCATTGGGATAGAGACAGTCTTTCCACTAGAAAACAGACTTATGTAGTCCATTGCCTTGCCTTATCAATCAATGACAACACACAGACCTTTTATAAATCAGCTGATCCAAAGTACATAGGAGTAGGAAAAGAAGTTTGCTACTTCAGCAGCATTCCTACATGTTGCACCATTAATTCGCTAACTGCATAGTTTCATTCTAGGGGTGAAGCCAGCTTGCCCTTAAAATAATTTTTCTCTCCTTTCATAGTATGATTTACAGGACTGCTTCTAATAATCCTCTGTAAAAAAAAAAGTCCTTTTTAATATAAAATGTAGCTTCAAATCTTTCTTTACCCAGCACTCAGTTACAGCTATAAATAAACTCTCTTGAGGCTGAAGCACATAAATGCACTGGTTCCTCTTGTGTCCCCTCAGTCACCTGAGAAGTGTAATGAGATTGTCTTTGTATCTATCCATCTTAGAAATGTTTAGTTTTTTGAATCTTTCCTGTATAAATTGAATTTCCCACATCATGAGTCAACCCTGTTTCTCTCTCCGTACTGTTTTGGTGCACAGCCAATAGTTACAAACCTCTCCCAAAGGTACCAATATGTTATTTGTTATGCTGGCCACTGCCAGACGTAGGATGCTGGGTAGAGGAACCCTTCAGACCTTTCGTCCAGTATGGCTATTCTTATTTTAGAAACCTTCTATACACATTTATGGTAACTTGAAAAAAAATATTGGTATGGCAGACAAAAATCTGTTAAAACAAAGGACTTGCATGCCAAGTTAGAAAGGAAGGGTCATAGTGAGCTACCCTGATATGTATTTACGCTCTGCTATCTTTTGCTTCCTTATGATTTTCAATGATTTGTTGTTACCAACTTCATGGATTTTTTTAAATTGGTATATAATGTGCTGTGTATTTTGAGTACCAAACTGTAGCTTGAAACTATGACTGTTACCAGTCAAGCAGCCTGAAAGCTGTGTGATGCCAGAATTAAGATTGTCTCTGCAACTTCAGCCGTCTCCCTTGCACATATATATTGCAGTGCAGTGTCATTCTGCACCATGCATAGCATTTTACAACATTTGGATTCAAAGCACACTCTCCCACAAACATCTGCTGCAGTGATGGTTTTTCATCCATGGGTTCTTAAGTTGGACGTGCAAGAGGAACACTACTGTTAGAAAAAACTCTTTACAGTTTGGTTTAAGTCACCTGCCTTATGGGAACTCATATGGCAGAGGCAGAAGTAGGATGTGGTTGTCTGGGGCAACCTTACCTTAGCACAAAAAGTACTTTAGTACTTTATAGGTATTTTTTGCCTTATGTGCAACCTATAAAACCTGCAATAAGTCCAGTAGGCAACTTCTTTCTCCAGTGCAGCACGTCTCCAGAACGTACTGACTGATGCAAAGTGGTCCTGTGAGTGGAAAAATAAGACTGTGAACGCTAACTTGGAAAACAACAGTGCATATGCACAGTTAGCCAAATTGAATTGTCATAACCAGTAGTATTCTGGTGTTTCGTAATTGGCCAAAGTCTGACTTTGCAATAGAGAGATTTGTTTAATATTAGTTTTAGTGTACCGTTTCTGAGGAATTCTTTAAATCAAAGTAAAAATAATAATAATTTTGTTATTTCCAGATAATTTCTACCAACCATGATCTAAAGATTACTACACAGTTCTCTGACCAGAGAGCAACAATAGGCTTGATCCTTCCAAACTTAAAAATTAAAAAAAAATTTTGTGTGTGCACTTCTAAATTATTTGTTATGATAAAGTGTTAAAGCTCAGTTATCAGGGATTTATTTCTGTTATGGAAAGAATGGAGTCTATTAAGCATACATTAGGAAAAATTTCTTTACTGAAAGAGTGGTCAGGCCTTGGAACAGGCTGCCCAGGGAAGCGGTTGAGTCTGGAAGTACTGGAAATACATCCCTGGAAGTATTTAAAAGACGTGTAGATGAGGCGCTTAGGGACATGGTTTAGTGGGCATGGTGGTGTTGGGTTGACGGTTGGACTCAATGATCTTAGAGGTCTTTTCCAACCTTAATGATTCTATGATTCTATGATCTGCCTCTCAATTTCCCTACCAGCTCTGATCTCTTTTGGACTGTGTCCACAGTCCTTTCTACCTTCTTTCCTCTTTCTTTATTGATGTTCCTCATCCTCCAGCCCTTGTTCCCTTGCTCAGACAGCAGAGCCATTGAGAGTTTCTCCTAAGCAGTAGGGGAGCAGTAGGGCTAAGCAGGAAATTGTTTCTTAATTTGTCTGTCCCCTTTGTATTGTCAGACTCCAGAAAAACTGTCCCAGTGACTCCACTTTAAATAGTGTGTGAAAATTGTAAGCTGAATTTATTATAACCGTAGATAGTAACTCCAAAACCAACACTACCATCTGTCTTATACTTGAAATAAATCAGTTACCCATTAAAAAGGTGCACCTCATCAGGAGCATTTACATTTCTGTGTACTTTGTTTGGCTGTTTTATTTGTTTGTGGTTCATAAGTACCATGCTGTAATTTGTCTTGTAGAGGCTGCCTACACGCTCCTGCTGTACGATGAGCTGTTGGAGTGGTCTGATCGGCCACTGAGAGAATTTCTCAACTACCCCATGCAAACAGAGTGGCAACGTAAAGAGTGTCTCCATCTGACCATCATTCAAAACTTTGATAGAGGAAAGGTAAAATAGTCCTATTTTACTGAGTGGATCTGGAATGGATAGTTTATTCATTTTACGACATTACTTCCAGGGTTGCAGTCTTTTCTCATATAGAGGGGAAGTGTTTGTCATTGCCTGATTAAGCAGTTACTTAGCGACAGAGTAGGTTTCTTCTAATCCTGTGTTTGTATCCTCGAAATCCCACACTTACGTGTGAGAATAATTTGCACTTGTGTGGCAACTTTGTAACTGTCAAAGCACTTTATAAAAGACAGTATAATTTCTCCCCATTTTAAAGATGGTGAAAATGAACCATATAAAGCTTACAAAATTCACTTAGTGACCAAGTGAGGAAAAAAATTCAGGGGTCTGGATTATAAGGACTATGTTTACACCTTCTAAGTCATGTTATGTCTTTTAGATTAGCAATTGCAGAATCTCTAAAAAGGAATAAGTTTTGGGGATCACAGTTCATTGTCATCACCGAGAATGCTGATTCTGAATTAAGCAAGAGTAATTATCCTGTAGTCTAAAATTTTATATATCCTTTGTGTGATGATTTGTCTTGCTGATAAACAAGCAATTCATTGCAATTTTGTGTAGCTAGTGTAATATCCATGGAGGCCTTGTAAATGTAATCAAACTGATGTTGATCATCAGGTTTTTTCAGAAAATTCTGTAATCAGCTTATAGAGTTTAAATTATATGGTGCAACAAAATATTTTCCAATCTACAATAATGAAGGAGGATATGTTAAGAATACAATTTTAAAATGTAAAAATCATACTGTGTTGAATCAAAAGAGATGTGTATCACTCTTGCAATGACTTGTATCTTGTGCAGAGATAGTCCTGTAAGAATCATTTATTAAATAAGTCTCTAAATATATTTTTGACCCTTCAAAGAATTCATCAGTATTACTCAGCAGCTATCAGTATGTCTAGTGGACAATATGTTCAAGTATTTCAGTTACTGGAAGTATGACTTAGTATAGAAAGAACAGACCACTAATAAATCATGAATTGTCAAACAGTTGCTTTGAAATTACTGAACATCTTTTACTTGCTTGCAGTGTTGGGAAAATGGCATTATCTTATGCAGGAAAATTGCAGAACAGTATGAGAGCTACTATGACTACAGAAACCTCAGCAAGATGAGGGTAATGTACCTGAGTACTTTTCATCAGTCAGAGATCTAAAAGCTTTTTAGTTTGGGTTATAAAATATTACTTAGAAAATTAAATTTGCCACGGAATGGTCCTTAGATTTGGTTTGCAACCTTTATTTTTTAGCTTGTGTTTTTTTTCTACAATAAAGATTATAAAAAAGGAGTGTGAGCTTTTTGAAGAAAAATGGGAAAATAAATGATCTTGCAACGTTTATACCTGTACAGCACCCCTTTTGTGTTCATGCTTATGCAGAAAAATTTTATTACAAATTCACTTTCATTGATTTCCTATGGTTTATCCCAGGAATGTGCTCTTCGCTAGGAGCAGTAACGTATCTTTGCAGTTGTAATTATGAGCAAACAGCTTGCAACAAGCAATGTACACCTTTGCAATTTTTTTAATTTATTGTTTAAAAATATGGTCTGCTTCATATCATATAGCCAAAATGAATCTTTCTTGACACAGTCTTCCTGCTTTCTCTCTCATTTTTCTTAGGACTCTAAGCATTGTTTCTTCCTTCGTTCTTTCTGATACTGTATTTTAAAGATTATTCAGTCTTCCCTTTTCTTGTCTGCTTCTGATGGATTCAATTTTATATTACAGCTTCTTCTTTAAATTTTCTGTATATGTAGGATTCTTGCTGCTAGGACTGACTGAAGTATACTTAATCCAGAGCTGCTTAACAGCCTTGTGCAAAATTCTCAACACAGCTATGTGGCCGTACTCCCTGTGATCTGCTTATTCCATATCTTTAGATATCCCAATGGCAGAATTCAATAAGCAAAAGCAAACTGACTATCATCATGTGAATAAAATAATTAGTTTATGCATGTTTAATTAATTGTATTTAATGTGTTTTGTCTTTGAATTAGGAAATATCCTTCTACTGTATTTGTGCCACCTATGTTAATCCAAAAATGGAGGTGCAGGGTTTTCTCACAGCAGTATAACTAGGCAGCTATTGGTCTGCATTACCTAAAATAGGACTAGTACTGGAATTTTTTCACAGTATTAAAAACTTATGAACAGAGAATGCTTTGCTGAAATATCATCAGAAAAGGGGGACTTTGAAATTAAGATCACTTTGTGTCAATGTTCTGAGTGAAATAAAAGCAGGATGTATTGATCAAAAATGATGTTAATTGCTATTGTGAGGTTTTTAAAGGCACTCACATTAGATGCTTAAATCATTGGAATCTGGTATGATTTGGACACAACTCTTTTGAATATGGAAATTGGACTTTGCTGACTAAATTGACCAGATTACTGCCACGTGTTTGGATGATAAGCAGATTACTGGGTCATATGTTTCAAACTGTGTTTCTATTACTTCCATTTTTCATTAAAGAACTATTCATGTTGTCATTAATCTAATATTTTACCCCTTTAATATAGGTACATCATATTTAAAAGCTTTTTTTTTTTTAATTCTTGGAAACTTTCAGGTCAATAAGAGGTATAATTATTTAATCTGATGCATTCAGAGACTTATAGATGTCCTTATTGTTGCTCAGAGGTGCATTGCCATTCCAGTACTCCAGAGCAATGTGCTGAAAGACCCTCCCTTTTGTGATAGCTTAAGGTAAAAATATGTTTTCACAAAAGACTAATTGCATTTCTTATCAATCTCACCCAGATGATGGAAGCATCTTTGTATGATAAAATTATGGATCAACAGCGTTTGGAGCCAGAATTTTTCAGAGTTGGATTTTATGGGAAAAAGTTCCCATTCTTCTTGAGAGTAAGTGAATTGAAAGTAAACAGAATAGAGTAATTCTGGAATTCATGCTGTCATTCATAATCACTTTCTGTATGTGAGAATTTGATCATACCATATACAAGTTCTTATCTTATGAGAAACAGGGAGTTCTTTGTGGTAATAATGAAATATCCTCATGTTTTCAGGGTTAAGAAAAGGTCCTGTCTAATGGAAAGACAAATGCTAGGCTTCCACACAAATGCTAGAGTCCACATAAACCTAATATTCATGTTTATGTTGGAAAACATGCACCTGTACTATTCCACAAACCAACATCTTCCTTTCATGGTAGTTTGTTCCATTCATCCTGTTCTGCTTCTGCTGGTGGTCACTCAGAACGAGAGTCAGGAGAGGTATCCCTTGGCAGTGGGATATCAGCAATTTAGCATTACTAATTACATTCCCAAGTGCCATTTTTTTTTAAGTGACTTAGAAATTCAACATGCTGAGTTTCATTGATTATCAATGTACTAAAGCAGACAAGAGACATAAAGTTACCCTTGAACATTAATCTTGGATTCTGAAGTTACTGAAGTGCCCTTGAAAAGGTTAGTCGTGTTTTCCCTGTTCCCCTCTTCCACAGTCTGCAGTGGTTTGACTTCCACAGTCTGCAGTCTGCATTGACTATCACCTTGGGAAGAGAACAGAATCCATCTTATTGATGGAGCCGCTGCAATCGTAATCCAAGCTCCTCTTCCTGTGGTAATTCAAATAAGTGACGAAGGAACCTCCTCTGTATGGTGGAGGCCTAAAAAGCCTAATTTTTCTTTGCCTTTGTGGTGGGGAAAATGACAAATTCCAAATGGTAAATATAGCATGAAACTCTCCCCTTTAAAAGCAATGCACAAAAAGAGTCTGATGGGCACATAGTTTTTGATATTACCTAGTAGTCATCTGAATATAACATCTGTATAAACCAATTTGAAAATGTTAATTAGAAAGAATTTAATGTTTAGATTACTAAAAATACGTCAACTGATGAAGTAGAAGTACTGGAAAAAGTTGCACAATAGTGCAGTGCTTTCAGACCTGTAGGTCTTTCACTGCTTATGCATCTGCCTAGGAAGTATTTATGCATTTTCCAAGTTAAACGTACATAGCACAGATTTATGCTTGCAGCACCATCAAGGAACACCTCAAAACTTTATACATTTGATTTAATTTTTTTATGGCAAAGCAGTTTGTAACTGTTTTTTAACAGCCTGGCTGTGTTTGCTATAGAAGGAATAAAGGATAAAGCTTCAGAATAAAGCTTTCACATTTTAATTTGTAGTTGCACAATAACACTATTGCAGTTGATTTCTTGTAGCAATTCCCATGAAAGTCCAGGCTCTCAAAATTCAATGCTTCCTGTCTCTGTTGGCAAGATACTACAAAGACAACAACTGTTTCTATCTAAGCCTGCTTCCAGAGGAACACATTAATAATGACTTTTTAGAATTTTCTAATATAGATTTTAAAAGGAAATTCATTTAACAGTATTTTTAGAAAAATGGTTAAGATATTTCCTTATTTCAAACATGTGCAAGCAGAATCAAACCAAAAAGTGCTGTCCACAGCTACAGGAAGCCCTCAGCACCACCACAGTCAGTGACTAGTTCCAACGGGTACTCCAAATCCAGGCATCTCATCTTTAACTTAGGTTGTGTGTTGTGTCTGTATTGATGTTGTACAATTTCAGGAAAATAACGGTGCAACTTCATAGTGGGCATCCAGGTAAAAGAAACTAGGTTGGAGCCAGGAGTATCCTTTTAATTCATATGGCAGAAACTGGATAATTTTAATTTACCAGGCTGATAATTCATAAGAATTAGAGGATAAGGCAAATTGAATGCATGCTACCATTTTCTTATGCATTGTTTTTCTTCAGAATTGTGTAACTTCAAAGCAAAGTTTCCTAGTTCCTCATGGAAAAGACTTTCAGCCCATTTCATTGTCTTAACTGCCTGTTGCATTATATTTTTGTTACATATTTTATACAATCTGATATGTTAAGTTAGATACATACTGTAATCCAATAAGAACAATTTCTCCCTTCAGATTTTTATTAAAGCTTTACGTATAATCATTCCATTTTTCCAGACTTTTGGATAAAACATACTTCATATGGTAAAATTTCCTTCTTCTAAGTAACCTGTTCTTTCTAGATTTCTTATTTTCATTCTTGCCTTTTGTTTCTTATTTTTTCCTTCTTAAAATGATTGCCCAAAAAGTCTATATTTAAGAGCGTGGTTTTGGATCTATCTAATGACACCCAATTATTTTCACATAACTTGCTCTTGTTTTTTCTTTTCTTATTCTGCTCAGAATAAGGAATTTGTTTGCCGAGGACATGACTATGAAAGGCTGGAGGCCTTCCAGCAGCGAATGTTGAATGAGTTCCCACATGCCATTGCTATGCAACATGCTAATCAGCCAGATGAGACCATCTTTCAAGCAGAAGCACAGTGTATCCACATAATCACAAACCCATACACTGCAGTTATGTCTTTCATGCTTTTAAAAAATATAGGTATACCTGTAGCCAATTTCAATCACAATGTGCCTCCACTGAAATAAATGGTAGGTGAGAATTCCCCTGCAATTTGTCCCAGTCACTCTATTATGTTTGGAATTTTTTTGTGTAATTGTTCATTTTATTTAAAAATTCCTTGGCAGGTTATTAAGATTCTTACTTTAGCCAAAAATACTTGCAGAACTATCACTGCGGTGATAATGGTGTATCAGTTCAAGTTACAGTAATTCAAGTTCTTACAATACAACATAATGTTAGTAGGCATGACATATTGCGTGTAAGAATATATTTAATTAAATCCCTTTACTCCATGTACTATTCCATGTAAGTAGCTCTATTTCAAAAATAAATACGAAAGTTTCAACAAAACAGTACAAAGAAATCCCAAACCATCAAAAAATCTCTCCGATTCCTTTCCCAAGCCATTAATATTCTAGAAGCATTTCATGATACACAGTTTTTAAAGAGTTTTCCTTCTGTCATGCTTCAGGAGTCAGTATGCTTTGCTAATTTGAATGAAGTGGGATAGCCTTAACTCTTTACATGTAGATTTGCAGATTTATGCAGTGACACCAATTCCAGAAAACCAGGAAGTCCTGCAGAGAGATGGCATTCCCAATAACATCAAGAGCTTTTACAAAGTAAATCACATCTGGCGATTCCGATATGACAGGCCATTTCACAAAGGCACCAAGGACAAGGAAAATGAATTCAAGGTAAAGTACCATGCCCTTTCGGGAGCTACTGGACCTATGGATTTATTTGTAACATCAACGATAGTTATGTTTTTGAAACATCATCTACAGTTGTGTTATTCAACCAAGTGTGGTATAACAAATTCTTTAGAGGAGATGGTAGCTCAGGTTTGACTATTTCACTTCTCATTTTAATTAAAAGAATATGAAAACTATATGGGAGATGGGAAGGTCTTGTTGTATATGGAATAGGAGAGAAAAAAGTACCCATTTGTTTTTGCATCAGTGATATATAGAAGGCAGAACTGGAGACAGCAGAGCAGTCTCCAGAGAAGTTTATAAGGCACACGGGAAAACATTGTTAAGTTGGTAATCTGGGGTATGGATAGGATTGCCAAAAGTTATCTCTCCGTAGAGCAAGGCAGAGACAGTTTTGACTAAACTGCAGCATAATGTTCTGTTCCTGTGATATCAAGACTGAAAACTACCTCTGAACTTAAGAGATTGTCT